ATAATTTGATTAATTTATTATTCTTTATTTTATTTATTTCATATTTTAATCAATTAATTATTGAATTAATTATTTATTAAATATTTCTTTATGATGTTCTTCTTTCTTTTTTATTTCTTTTTTCTTTATTTCTTATTTAATTTCTTTTTATTTCTTTTTGTTTTATTTATGTTTTTTAATTCTTTTATATTATTCTTTTTATTTATTTTATTCTCTTATGTTTTCTCTTTTTATTATATTCTTTTATTCTTTATCTTATTTATATATATTTTCTATTTATTATTATTCATTCTTATATTTATTATATTTTTCTTCTTCTATTATATTTTCTATTAATTCTTTTATCTTTCTTTTTATTTCTCTTTCATTATTTCTTTCTTATATATTTCTATTTTCTTTTTATTCTTATTTCTTTTATTCTTCTTTTTGTATTTCGTTATATTTTATTTTCTTATAATTATTTTATTATTATTATTCTGTTTTATTTCATTATTTACTTACTTTATCTCTTTTCTTTATGTTTATTATTTATTATATTTTCTTTATTATTATTTATCTTCTTTATTCTCTTTTCTTTATTTTATTTATTCTTATTTTTATTCTCATTTCTTGTTATTATGTAATTATATGAGAAACAAGATTCATTCAATATAAATGATTTGATAAATGAATAGAAATAATTGATTATTATATTAATATTTAGTTAATTAAATATCATCAGATTTTGTAATTATGTAAAACAATGAATTAATTATAGATTGAATATATTCATTTATTATTATTTATTCATTTTATATTAATATTTATTTGTTGATTTGATATATTTATTATTGATTTTACAAAATATTAGATTTATTGTATAATTATTATTTCATCTATATTATAGATATTATTATTATATAAAATGTTGATAAAAATATAAATTGAATTAATATTTAAAAGAATAAATATTATATAAAATATTAAATATGAATTAAGATAATTAAATATAAAATATTTATATTATCTTTTTCATTTTGTAATTTCATCTTTTTATTTATATTATTTAATTATTAATATTAGATGATATTAAATTTATATTATTAAATATTATATAATAAAGATGTTAAACAAAATAATATTTATATTATTGATATAATTAATATATATTTTGAAATTATATCATCATTTTATTTAAATATTTATTATTTATTATATTTTATATTATTTATTGTTGATTTATATCAATTTTATTCTTTTTATATTATTTATTCTTTGTTTTATTCTTAATTTACTATTAAAATTATTTCAATTATATTATGATATTAATATAATAACATTAATATATTTATTACAAATAAATTGATTATTATTATTATTATTTATATAATGTTAATATTTCTATTATTTTATTTTATTATTTAAATATATCATTATATTACTTATTATTATTTAAATTGTTAAATTTATCATTAATTTTATTATTATAATTTATTAAAATAATAAAATTATGATTATACATTTAAATATCATTAATTAGTTTATTTTTATTTATATTTTCATTATTTTATTATTATTCTTTATAAATTTATTATAATTATTCTTTATTCATTTATTATTATCTATTTATCTTATTATTTTCTCTTTATTATTCTTATATTTTTGTTTGTTAATATTATTTCTTTCTTGTTTGTTTCTTTCATATTATAAAACTTTAAATTTATTCAATTATCTTTTCAATTAAACAATGATACAATCATCATCATAATATTTTCGATAATACATTTTCTTTAATACTTTATTCTTTTTTAATTCTGTTGGACATCCATAAAAACATCCTTTTTCTATTTCACTTATTGTTGTTGGAATATCAATATCACTTAATGATGAACATCCTTTGAAACAATCCTTTCCTAATCTTCTAATTGATGATGGAATAGTGATTGATTTTAATGATTTACATCCATTAAAACATTCATTTCCTATTAAACTAACACTTGTTGGTATATTAATTCTAGTTAATGTTTTACAATCTTTAAAACATCCATCTCCTAATGTCTTAACTGATGTTGGTATGTTAATTGATTTTAATGATTTACATTCATTAAAACATTCTTTTCCTAATTCACTAATTGTTGTTGGTATATTAATTTTTGTTAATGAAAAACACTTTTTAAAACAAGCAATTCCTATTTTACTAACTGATGATGGTATATTAATTGTTGTTAATGATTTACATCCATAAAAACATTCATATCCTAATTCACTAATTGTTGTTGGTATATTAATAGATGTTAATGATGAACATTCATCAAAACAATGATCTCCTAATTTACTAATTGATGATGGTATATCAAGTGATTTTAATGATGAACAAAAACTAAAACAATAATCTCCTAATTTACTAATAGATGATGGAACAGTAATTGATGTTAATGATTCACATCTATAAAAACATTCTTTTCCTAATTCAGTAATTGATGAAGGTATATTAATTGATTTTAATGATGAACATCTACCAAAACAATAATCTCCTAATTCACTAATTGATGTTGGTATATTAATTGTTGTTAATGATGAACAGAAACCAAAACAACCTTTAGGTAATTCACTAATTGATGTAGGTATATTAACTGTTATTAATGATTTACATTCATAGAAACAATACTCCTCTAATCTAGTAACATGTGTTGGAACATCAAAATCAACAAAATCATAACATTTTTCAAAACAATATTTTCCAATTACATTAAACTTTTCAGGTATATTGATTCCATATGA